AATCTATTTGAATTATTCAAATACATTTGCAAATTTAAAAATTAATTGAGGAAAAACAGTTTAATTAAGAGAAATGACTCTCTTGGGGCTCCTGGGTGGCTCAGTCAGTTAAGCATCTGACTTCGGCTCGGGTCATGATCTCACGGTTTGAGAGTTCAAGCCCTGCATTGGGCTCTGTGCTGACAGCTCAGAGCCTGGAGCCTGCTTCAGATTCTCTCTCTCTCTCTCTCTCTCTCTCTCTCTCTCTCTCTCTGTTCCTCCCCCACTCATGCTCTGTCTGTCTCTGTCTCTCTGTCTCTTTCTCAAAAATAAATAAACATTAAAAAAGAAAAGATTCTGAAAAAGAGAAATGACTCTCTTGAGTCTGGGGTTACTGTCATTGTCCTCCAGAAAGCGAAGTGCCTAATTTCCATGGCCCTGCCCAGGGCTCTCCACTGTATCACACGGGCAATACTTGCTTCTAAAGCAGCAGTTGAACAGCTGCCAGAGAGTGGGCCTGACTACAATTTTGAGCTTATTTAATCAGGTGGAGCATCCACATGTCAGCAAAATTGTCACATTCTCTGAAGTCCTAGTCAGTCCAATTTTGCAGATATATAGGCAGGCCATGCCTTGCCACTTTAACTGCAAATTAAAGCTGGAACAGTTTGGGAACATCTCTGCTAACCCAGGCATAGAAATAGCCCTGGACCTGGCTCTGGAGTCTTGGCAACAGTAATGACCACCTGCATGTGGGTGACATGATGGATGAATAGAGAGTACAGTAGATCCTCTCTCAATGACTCTGCTTTTGAGTGACTCCTGGACTGACCAGAACTCTCCATGTCTGCTCCATAACAGACCAGTCGATGCCCACTGGCACTGCCCACCTGAGACCCATCCCTTAGGCTTCTCCCTCACACTAGCATATGCTTATATGCTATTCATATGCTTATTCCATTGGTGGAGTTTTATGATTGCCAAGAGTTAGTGGTTTCTGCCAGTTGTACATATTATTATAACAAAGGAATTTCATGGAATATTAAATGCCAAATTGGTTAAATACAAATGCATAACACTTGGATTGCTGTGACAACTAGGTTGAAAGGTTTAATCAGATGATAGAAAAACTGCTATCCAATTAAGTGTGGCTGAGAAAACATTTAAGAAGTTAGAGAAGAACCTCGTTTGATATCTAGAACTCTACTCAGATGGCTCCATAAGCATCTTTCAGCAATTGGTCTGTTTCAAAGAAAGCAAAAGTTGACATTGTCAGTGGTGCATTATGGGTGTGACTTAGCAAGAATGACGTCACAGAATTCCAACAGCAGACCCATTCCCAAGGAAAAGACCTGGACCCTCTTTCATAAGACTGAAGAATTGGTGTAGACGTATATGTTGTAAGTTATAAAATGTCTAACATGTTCATGGACCTGTTTGTTCGTTTGTTTCTGCTTTCTCGCTTTAACAAACTTTTTCAGTTAACCAGATGTTTTTGAACCATCAAACAGGGCTTTTACCCTAATGTAAAGACAATGAAACCAAATGCAAACAAAAGCTAAATATGTTGCCCCCAATGTTTCAAGATCCAAACTGAAGGATAATCATGTAAAAACTCAGGAACTGTGGTTTTGATGATCAGAAAGGGGGAGCAGAGTCACTATGGGTGATGATAAGAAGCCAGACCCCAGGCAAGAGGGAACTCAAAGGAACAGTATGGTCAGACACAGAGAGCTCCACACCCAACCCCTGAATAATACCACCCGTGTGAGTCCTAAGGATTCTTCCTTAGAACTGTGACGGTCACTGGTTGGGATATGGCTTCATGTATTGGTTATAGGTAAAAGTATTGATCGAGACCAAATCTATGGTATGAAATGAAAGATTTGCTACAAATTAAACAGCTTCCCATTTTCTAATGGTCATCAAGAATCGTGTATAAGGTCTAACTTTAAAACTAGTAGCCTGGGGGCGCCTGGGTGGCGCAGTCGGTTAAGCGTCCGACTCCAACCAGGTCACGATCTCGCGGTCCGTGAGTTCGAGCCCCGCGTCAGGCTCTGGGCTGATGGCTCGGAGCCTGGAGCCTGTTTCCGATTCTGTGTCTCCCTCTGTCTCTGCCCCTCCCCCGTTCATGCTCTGTCTCTCTCTGTCCCAAAAATAAATAAACGTTGAAAAAAAAAATTAAAAAAAAAAAAAAAACTAGTAGCCTGAAGTTACTGCATTAGTCTTGATTTTGTAGGTTCAGGAATGATGTTTCAACTGGATAAGAACATACTCTTGTTTGGGGGAGTTGCACGCAGAAACATTAGTGGCGAAGTATCATGGTGTCTGTAGTCTACTTTTGAATGGTTTGGCAAAAAGAGCATGTGTGCATGTGAGTGTGTGAGGGGGAGAGAGAGAGAGAGAGAGAGAGATGGTAACAGTTGCCACACCTGATGAGAAGATACATAAGGGTTCATTGCACTATTTTTTGATTCTTCCCAGGGTTTTAAAATTTTAAAAAATATTTTTAAGTGCAAGCAACTGACAACTAATTAGCCTTTGTTAATTTTAACATGTAGTAAAATAGCCAAACCTTCTATTTCATTTTTTGCCACTTCAACCATAGTTTTGCCTAATTCATGCGCAGAGAAAATGTCTTAGTCATGGCAGCGTGACAATAGTCATATGATTCAAATACCTTGAAATTCCAGGTCCAGATAGGATACAAACAAATTACCAGTTTTCCATCAACCCATTGACCCATTCAATTAGTCCACAAGTGTTTATCCAGGATTTATTAAACACCACGGCTACTAGCGTGAAGAAGACTCTAATTCCTTCCCTCTTAGGGCCTAGGGGCGTTAGGGGAAATATACATTAAACATAACTACAAGTGGTCCATGGGAGCAAACAAGAAGGAGGACCTGATTGCATTTGAGGGAGTTCGGCAAACACTTCTTTGTTCAAACTGACATTGACAGATTTCCAGTAATGTATGGCAAATATGGCTTTTACTTTGAGAAATAAAATTAATTTGGCCTATCTCATGGCTTCCATGCACCTTCTCAGAGGTTAGAGGATTACCCGTGGTTCAGAGATTCTCAGAACGTGCTGTGTTGTATCTGGGAGGCGGAAGAATCAGATATGCTCAATGTCCATTGGAAAACAGTGGCCTGCCATCACCATTTGAAATAGAGCATTGGGTCCTTGGGAGGGTTGAGCTTTCTTGCCCAATGCCTGGTGCTCTCCCTGGATGTGGGACTCAGACTCCTTATTGAGGCCCTGCTGCCCCCTCCAGAGGCTGTGTGGGAGCTGCTTGCGTGACCCTCCACTCTTGGGACCAACTGTCAGCAGATATTTAAAACAGAAACAAAAGCCAGAAGGACTCTTGTCTTCAGGAAGCTTTTGCTTTCCCCCAAGTGACAAAAGCATCCCTGAAGTAAGGGACACAAAATCCTGACTACTTGCTTGGAATGACAGGAAGAAAGACATGGCAAACAAAAAAAACAGATGTGCAAATTCGTGTCTCACATGATCTAGTGTTCAGAAACAGAGAATGAGCTCTATCTTGCAGACTCAGATTTTAGATGCTAATTTAGAGCTGTGGTATCAGAATCGAGAGTTTATTAAAACAGAATAGTGAGACGCACCCCCAGGGTTTCTGATTCAGCGGGTCTGGGGTAGGGCCAATAATTTGCATTTCTGACAAGTTCACAGGTGATGCGGATGCTGCTGGTCTGGGGATCCACACTTTGAAACTATTGCTTTCATGGAGTGTGCTTAAGTATGTGACTGAAATGAGCATAAAAGCTTAAAACTCTAGAAAGATAAGATTGAACAATTCAGTCAGGGTATGACTTGACCCCAAACATCTGGGAAGAAAGTCAGAAAAATGCAGCCTTCTAAAAAATACCAAATATCCAACCCTTGGGGAGAATATAGATTTTCCTTTTCAATCAGTCACTCTCCATTCATATAAATTGTGAGGTATATAAATGTGGCATCTGAAAATTACTATACACTTCCTTTCCTTGAAGGGCAACATAGCCTACTGCCCTAGTCTCAGGAAATATATTTAACTGAGGATGTTTTCGCTTGTGTATCTTATTTTAATTGCGTAAATAGGATCTTCCACTTTGGAAATATCTGAGGCTATCTCTCTTTTATTTTTCCTACCAACCAGCCAGCACATGCCCTAGACTTGCCCTGCCTTTTGCTGTCAATTAATATCCTTTTCCTGTGGAAAGCAAACTAGTTCTCAGTTAATACTAACCCGAAGGAAAAAAAAACTGAAAAAGATAAATATATAAACATAGAACATGTATCAAAACACATTGCAAATCCAGTATTCTAAACTACTTTTTTGTTCCTCTGCTGGCAGAGAAATTTTTAAAAATTGACCTTTATTAGAGTTGGCAGGTACATAGGTTTTAAACTGTGTCCCAATGACCACTTAGACAGGATAAGAGGTCCCAAGCTCCCAGCTAAATTTTTGGTTTTGTTTTAAAGTAAGAACGTTTTGATACCAACATTAGTGAGTTAGATTGTTCCCCTTAAAGACACATGGTGGATACTGATCACCTTTTCTCAGTCTTGAACATCATTTCAGGAAAAGAAACCGTTCGAGTCACCTATGGAAGATATGACCAGTTCATATACGCATATGCATATATGTACATTATGTTAAACCTAAGAAATTTGCCAACATTAGACCACTTTCTGCTTACAATTATGTCAATTTCATGTGGTTCAATGATACATTATCCTGAAAAAAAGGATAGATGACTTTTGTATTTCGCATAGCTTAAAATTCCTACATTTGATAAAAATGATGTACACTCACCCGAGAGTTCTCCTACATGCAACGTCTCACTTTTCGACTCTATTTCTGTTGATAATGTTGCCCCAGTATCACGTGGCTCCTAACGAATAGTGTTTAATGCTCAAAGAACAGAAAAATATGTTTGCTTTTGCCCTGCCAGTCAGGATTTATTAAGTTGTTGTTAAACAAAACTCTTTCTTTTTTCCCTTTTTCCTAGGGCTGTGTCTGTAAAGATAAAGGCCAGTGCTTCTGTGATGGGATCAAAGGAGAGAAGGTAAAAACAAAATCTTAAATATTGCTTTTTTTCCTCTGCAGAGCTCATCCAAGAATTCACTCTTCTTTGCCTAATAGCAGAAAGACCCACAATGTGTTATTCCATTCCCCAAATCAAATTTTAAAGAAATCATATATAAACATTAACCAAAAGAAAGAAAGAAAGAAAAGAAAAGAAAAGAAAAGAAAAGAAAAAAAAGGAAAGGAAAGGAAAGGAAAGGAAAGGAAAGGAAAGGAAAGGAAAGGAAAGGAAAGGAAAGGAAAGGAAAGGAAAGGAAAGGAAAAAGGAAAAAGGAAAAAGGAAAAAGGAAAAAAAAGAAAAGAAAGCCTTCTAGAAAGTTTCAGACAACTGGTGTGAATACCGTCAGTTAAACTCTAACTCTTTTGGTCTGTTAGCAAAAAAGAAAGATTTATAAGAATGCGTCTATATGTATAACCCTATTTACAATGTTGATAAACACGAAAGAACAACTGGAAACAGCTCTGTTCACTCACTTTGACCCAGACATTGACATCCGCAGACTTGAGTCCTGCAGCACTGGTGCAGGCGCGCCCCCTAGTGAACGAATCCTGCAGCAGCACTCTGGTTGAGGCCAAAATTCAGCACGAGGAAGAAGTACAGGTGCCCCCCGCTTTCTGAAAGCTCGCCTGGCGCCAATTCGTTTTTTAGGAAAGACCGACCTTGACCTTTGTTTCTGCTAAGCAAGAGATCTCCAAAGAGGATTTTTGCTTCTGTGAAAAAAAATTACCATACTAATGTAAGTTTTTCACAAAAGCGAAATGGTGTAATTCGAACTTTTAGAAAGCGGGGATACTCTTTGCTTTGTACCATTTCAGTTTGAGAAAAGTTTCGTAGGAACTCTGTGCTTTCGGATAGCGGGGGGGAAACCTGTAGCTCCATTGCAGACTTCAAGAAAAAAAAGAATGCCATGAAATCTCATTAATTCGCTCCATTAACTTGCAATTTGTGATAATTAAGACAGAGGCAGAACTAAAGTTTTTTCTTTGTTTACAAAACCCTTTCCTCCGGGATGCTAATGAATTGCTTAACAATAGTGAAGGGTGACTAAAAATATTTTAGAACATGCTTCTAGCTCTTTAGATAAAATGATTTACATATAGTTTATATACTAACTATAATAATTATTACATTTATTTCCAGTTATTCTATAATTGGTGTGTAGTTTGAGTTAGGTTTTTCCCTGCAACTATGAATGTATATACTCAGATCCGTGTTGGAGAGCTGGGATTTATTCTTGCATTCAAGAATTTATTGAGTCCCTGCTATGTGTAAGAGGCTACTCTAGAATGTGTGTGGGTAACTGGGTTTGGGGAGGGGTGTAGCAAATTCTTTTGTTTCTTTTTATGGGATGTGGCTGTGTACACACAACAATATGAAATAGCCAACTTGATCTCTCTTTTTTTTTTTAATTTAATTTGCCAGTGGTGTAATTAAATTGACTGAATCAGCCAGCGACCTTTACTATTAGAGTGAAATCCCAGGATCCACGTCGGGAAAATTATTTGTTGGTAGAACCACGTGATGCACTGGGCCTAAATTATTTTCGCTAGTTACTAAGGGCTTTGTCATAATAGCATCTAACTCTTTCTAAAAAAAACTATTCCGCTCACCCTTTTGGTTATGCCACTCTTGATATCTCCTGCATCTCCTACACAAATAGATTGGATTACTAATTCCTGTGTAATCAAGAAAGGACTAAAACTGATAGCCTGCACGTTGTTCTTTTCAAGCTACCACAGCAATTATGCACACTCCCCAAACACATTCTTGAGCCTTAGCCTCACTCTCTCGCCATCTCCCAGCAAACAGTCTCAGCTTTCTATTTGGGCTTCCCACCCCCAGTTCCCGACTCCCTTTCTCTTAATCTCTGCTCTGTGTAGCCCCACCTTTTGGGGAAAAGTAGTTCCTACCAGACCAAAGGCAATCGCTTGCAAGACTACAGACAAATGCTAACAGCTGGTAGCCTTCCACTTACTGTTATGCTGACTGCTGAGTGCGAATTTTATTGAGCCAAGGAAAAAATACGTGCCAAATGTTATCATTAAGTTGTAAAGAAAAGAAAGCAACGGTTGTGGGTGTGTTTGTTGCTGGGCGGTGCTATTCTGTGTGTTTCTTATCTTGTTCTGGTTTTAACAGGGGGAGAAGGGCTTTCCTGGACCCGCTGGTTCTCCTGGCCAGAAGGGGTTCCCAGGTCCCGAAGGCTTGCCTGGACCGCAGGGACCCAAGGTATGTCAGTTTCTAAGCTCTCTTGGCCATCCCTTTCTTTTTGATGTTAGCTTTTCTCTTTCAGTCCTTAAGCATGCAGATGTTCCCCATACAAATATGAAATTTCCCCTAGATCTTTCAAGTCCTGTAAGCAAAGGATTGCCATCCCTCCCCCTGTCTTTCCTTTCTCTGTCAGGATTTAAAAAAACAAACTAACCCCACTTACTATTCACTCTCCAGCCGGCAATAATTTGCCTCTGGTCCTCCTGCCCTGAAAACATTCCTGCAGAAATCACCCATGACTTTTGTGTCCTTATCTGACCCGCACCCTTCTGCTTTGTTTCACACCCTGCGGATCGCTCTCTTCTTGAAACACTTGTCTTTCCTTGTTTCTGGAATTCTCCTTCCTCGGATACTCTTCTTTTTGCCACACCCTTCTCTTTTTTCATGGGTCCCTCTTTCTCAACTCATCACACATTTTTATCCTAAAGTCTGTGATACAACAAAGGGCTTTGTTTAAATAAATACCCTAGAGGATTTGCTAAATAACTACATAACCACTAGATTTGCTGATGGCTCTTTCCTGCTGTGGACATTAGCTAAACTTAAGCCTGGGCTCTCCTGCACTCACGTGGTTGTTCCCCTGACTGCTGGCCTCCAGCAAGCTATGCACTAACTAATAAGCTCTGAAAGATAATTGTCACTGATCCCTGCAGAGTCTTTTTAAATTTCCCAAATGTGTGGTATACTTAAGTGGTAATCACAGGCAACATTTACTGCGACTCTATTCCATGTGAAGCATTGGGACGTTTACTCTGGACTGTATCTCGTTTACTCTTCACATCGGTCCCAGAAATCCTGACTACGGTGACTCATATTCTCATCTCCATTCTAGGGATGAGGAAACTGACACTCGGGAGCCCATAATTAACTCATCCTGGACTCCACAGTGAAAGGTGGCAAGATCAGAGTTCAAATCTGGTTTTATATGATGCCAGAATCAAATTCCTGTAACCAAAGAAACTAAACCCACATCTGTATGTTCGAAGAAACATGCAAAATTTTGTGGTTTTTCCGTGAATTCTTCCGCTTCATGTCTCTCCAATTCATTTATGTGCTTTTTCTCCATTTCTCTTTCTTCTGACCCTAATTTTGAAAAAAGTCATCCAGATGCTGGACGTTTAGTGTCTGAATTCAGACCCATTCAGTCTCTGACCATCCCTCTGCCTTCCTCCAGGGTGTGGCCTGGGATATTCATCCATTTCACTAATAAAATGAATTTGCTTCAATTCTGGACTTGGATCAACCCCAAGCCAATTCTTTCCTTTTTGTTTTGTTCTCTGCACCCACTCTGCTTGTTACCTTGGCGTTTCTTTAGAGAAGCCTGCAATCAGTTAAAATAATAATTGTAGGGGCGCCTGGGTGAGTCCGTTGGTTAAGCATCCGACTTTGGTTCAGGTCACGATCTCTCGGTTCTTGAGATCAAACCCTGCATCTGGCTCTGTGCTGACGGCCTGCTTCAGATCCTCTCTCTCTCTCTCTCTCTCTCTCTCTCTCTCTCTGCCCCTCCCCCTCCTCTACTCTCTCAAAAATAAATAAAACATATAAAAAAGAAAAGAAAAGAAAAGAATATCTGTGTATCATGTGTCATGGAGTTCGTATAGGACGACAGTGTGCTTTATCAATGTAGCCACACAAAAGATAATTTGATCCAAGGCAGACAATTAGAGCCTATTAAACCTGACCAAATGGAGTTTTCAGGCTAAAAAATTTCCACTCTTAATTTTAAGTATTTTATGCATGAAGAACATTTCTAATGGGGACATAAAACCTAGTCACTCTTGAGTCTTCTGCATCATAACACAGAGCATCCAGCAGGGGAGGGGAACATAGACAAGCAAAATTCCACCTCCTCGGTGAAGGCCCACCTTAGCCTTGACCATCCAATCTCAGAAGGCTCTGTAACAACCCCTTTCTCAAAATAAAAAATAAAAAAATACCAAAACGTACTGAAAGTCCCAGGAATGATAAAAACAGCTTTTGGACAATGGAACTTTCCCACCAAGTGGCCTGGTTCAGACAGTCTCCATTTAAGGTAATTCCCTAAGAAACAAGGCCTCTAAACTGTATTTATTAGATGCCCGAAGCTAGTTTATCTCTGGTTCAGGCAGTTCTTGCTTTGCTATTTATTTATTTGTGCGTGCCAGGCCCATTTTGCTAATAAAGTGTTTTTCATGCACAGAAATATTGGCTGCTGTTCTCATCCCCCATTGTAACTGTATCATTATCCTTATCAGACTTCAGCAGCTGTCTGGCTAACGTGGGGCTTTTACAGCAGCTCTTCACAGGCGTCAGTGTGAACACGAATCATTTTCTAACCTTGTCAAAATGTAGATTCTGAGTCAACCCGTCTGAGAGATGGGGGAGACCTGAGAGCCTGCTTTGCTAACAAGCTTCCAGGTGATGCTAATGCTACGGGCCCCCCTGACCCCCCCCCCCCACATGGAGTAGCAGGGGTTTGTCTGAATTTTTGTTTGTCCTTTCCGATAAATATTTTAGCTCCAATTAAACAAACAAGCAATTTACTGTGTTGACACTGAAATAATCACAAGAGCAAAACAGGCTGGTGTATGAATAAAACGGCGACTTTTAATTTATGGGTTTCTTAGTGCCACATGATTTCCAGTGTTTGCCTTTTGGGTTTGTTTTTGTTTTTTTTTTATGTTGGATCTAGGGCTCACCAGGACTTCCAGGACTCACCGGTCCCAAAGGTGGAAGGGTTAGTAGTCCAACCGGTCCATCTTCTTCTTTATAAAAAATAAGAACTCTGCACTGTAAAAGTTATACAGATGTCACAAAGGAGTACATTCTGTATGCTACACTCTATAGTTGAAGGTCAAGAACAGGTAAAAGTGATCTGGAGTGGCAGAAAATAGTGGTCACTATGTTGGGGGTGGGTACTGATGGACTGGGAAAGGTGTGAGAGAACCGGCTGGAGGGGGTAGGGATGTTCACTATCTGGATGGGGTGGCGGTAATAACAATATGTAGTGCAGACATCTGTAAACGTTCCTCAAGCTGTTTGCAGAAGCTTAGGGCACTCTACTGTATGCAAGTTATGCCTTAAAAATCTATCCAAAAAGGCAAAAAAAGATCTTAATCATCTCTTTTAAAAAGTTTTATAAATGTAAGATTTAGAAAAGTTTGTCAAAACTTTTTTGTTTGTTTTTCAGATAGATTTTAGCCATTCCTGATTACAGTTGCAGGATGGGGTTATTAGAATGCAAATAAGTTTCTGTTTTCAGGTTGAACGTTTTAAAAGTGTTTTTCTTGCCACCTTCCCCTTTTCTATGGCTTTAGGGAATAACTGGATTGCCAGGATTCTCAGGTCCTCCTGGACTTCCAGTAAGTAATGGGGAAAATATGTAAAGTTAAAAAATAAAAAGAAAGCGCATTTTAATAAAGAGGTTAAAGCAATAGTGCATGGAAATGGGTACTGAGACATATGCTACATGATGAAAATGTCACAGTAGAATCACATAATATATTAGAGTGTGAATTTGTAGGACATACAAGCCAAACTGTATTTCCTGAAATCGAAGCAGAATAGAATGGTACAAAGTGGAACAAGACAGGATGGGGCTTGACAGTATGAGATGGTATAGCGTGGAGTGAGTTGGGATGGTATGGGATGGGTTAGAATGGAATGGGATGGGATGCAGTGGAATAGGATGGGATGGGATAGAATGGAATGAGTGGGATGGGATGGGATGGGATGGAATGGGACAGAATGGGATGGGATGGGATGAGATAGAATGGGATGGGGATGGGAAGGAATGAGACAGAATGGGATGGGATGGGATGGGATGGAATGGGGATGGGATGGGGATTTTATTTTGTTCCATCAGAAACGGAATGGGGACGACAGAAACTTTATCAGGGACGCAAGTTTCTGTTCATCAAGAAACGGGGATTCCTGGGACGATTTGGAATGGACAGACACATTGTCAGAACGGGGACGATGGGATGACGAGACAGGAACGTGATTTAGACGACGAGAGACAGAAACGGGGATTGACGACGGGGACGTATCGAACAGTGACGATTCGGTTGAACGAACGGAGACATTTGGGAATGGGACGGGATGGGACGGGGACCTGATGGGATTTTAGACGGGGAATTTTGAAAATTGCATCGAACGAATTTTACGGACGAGACAGAACGGTCTTTTATTTGGGGAAAATGGAACTTTTATATCAGAACTTGACGACGGACAATGGGGATTTTAACGAGTGATTTTATCGGAAACGTATCATGAACGGGGATGGGGACGGGACGAGACAGGAAACGGGGATGGGACGAGACAGAACGGGGAATTTTAGACGTAAATGAAACGAGCATCGCGAACGACGGGGAATTTACCGGAGACGACGGACGGGGACGACAGACAGAAACGGGGATGGATTTAGATAGGAATGGGGATGGGATGAGATAGAATGGGATGGGATGGGATGGGATGGGATGGGATGGGATGGGATAGAATGGACTAGAATAGATGAGATAGGATAGGATAGGATAGATGGAATAAAATGGAATGGAGTGTAGTGTGGAATAGAGTGGAATACAACAGGATAGGATAGGATAGGATAGGATAGGATAGGATAGGATAGGATAGGATAGGATAGATCAGAATAGAATAGAATAGAATAGATCAGAATAGAGTAGAATAGAATAGATGGAATAAGATTATCTCTGTTGAATAGTGTAGAATAGTAAAATAATAGTTACTTCATGCACATATCCCTCTTCTTTTTCCTTTCTTTTCTTCCGGCTTAAAACAGCACGTTAAGGGACTTTATTTTGTATAGAAAGGTCTCTTGTTATATCTAAAATATCTGTATCTCACTTGGTAATTTTTGGTTTTGTTAGCCCATTTTATTTGCTATGATTTTTATTTAAGTGATCTAAAATAACTGTATATACTACTTAACTATTAATAGCCATTTGTATTTAAATAACTCTCTAAATTAGCCCATCTTTTTCCTTACCTTGGGTTCCTCACTCTTGTCGCTTGTTCCCGGGGTCTGGTGCTCATGTCTCCTTTCTGAGACTTGCTGTGTTTCCAGGGCACCCCGGGCCATCCTGGACCATATGGACCTGCTGGTGTACCAGGGTGCAATGGTTCTAAGGTATGTGCTCCTCACACAGGAGCTGGTCGGGAAACATTCTGCCAAATGAGTCAATCAAGGTGAAGGAGGAATGAGACGGCACAGGCTTTCCTTGAAAGATCCTTTTAGCCAAAACCAATAGTGTGCATACAGAAACGTAACGGTTTTCTTTCCTCCTCTGGTTTGATTTCTGATTGTCTTTTGGGGACGTTCTGTCATGTTCTCCCACAGAAGGATGGGGGGACCTCACCTGGTTACTTTCGCCTGAGGTTGTGAGTGTATGCAAATCAGAAACTAAAAGCGTGGAATGCAAAATTGGTCTTTGGCAAGGAACGACTGAACTTTGCAGTGTTCACTCATCCTCTTTGTTTCCTGACCGCACTCTCCTTTTCCCAGAATGGTGGCCATGAAAGAACTAATTAGTAAAGTTTCAAGGAAACAGCAATTAAAAAGTTCTTGGCACAATTAGACTTTTGCCATTTATGCACAATTTGAGAAATAGTAGATTCTAATCCTGTTTTCAATTAAGATAATGGTTTTCTGGCCTTCAGCCTCATGACCCAGCAGCCATAAGGAATTTGGGTTACTTTGTCTAGATTTACCACTGCAGGGTTGGAAGACAGAAACAGGGAAAAGATCTCAATAGGCTGTTCTAGAACAACTAAGAAAGAATGACAAGCTTTGTATGTCTTCCAGGGTGAGCAAGGGTTTCCAGGCCTTCCAGGGATACCAGGCTACCCGGGGATCCCGGTAGGTGTCCATTTCTAACTCTGTATAAAGTGTAAACACAAGCCATTTACTCCAGAATGGCCGTATGCTGAAATCCGTCAAGACTGTGGGAAAGTCTAGAGCAGCTGAGAAGAGACATTCAACTAATGGGCGAATGAATGAATAAATGCGTTGAGTTCAGGTTTGCACTTTGAGGCTTCATTTTGCATTTGAGACATCTAAGCGGAGATGACTGATAGGCAGCTAGATCTGCTCAGAGAGGCCCTGGATGGTGGTGACTCAAGGAGCAAGAATAAGGAGAAAAGAGCCTTGGACATGACTTAGAAAGCTCGAGCAAGGGATGTCCGGGTCAAGGAGAATAAGCCCGTAAAGAGGAGGGGCCCCTGGTGGTAGAAAGAAAACCAGAAGGAGTAGATGATGGGAGCCTAGGAAAGATGTATTTCCGTAGAGGGGAGTGGCAGACAGCTGCCCAATGCTGCCGAGAAGTCCACGAAGATCTGACAACTTGTCATTGACTTTAACAACATCACCATCATTGCAGGACTTAGCAAAGGATACTTTGAGCATGGATGGGGCATGAGGCAGGTGTGGGACGAGGAGTGAATGGGATCTGAACAGAATGGGAAGGTTGCAGATGACATGACGAAGAGATACGGGCAGTACTGGCAGGGGGAGATTAAGGGGAGGTTTTGTTTCTTTAAATGAAAGAAAGTTGAACATATTTAAAAGCCAGTGGGAAGTATACAGCGAGAGAGGGGTTGAATACCAGTGAGGACAAAGCAGTGATTCTGTGTATTTGGTTTCCTTTTCTTAGGGTGCTGTTGGCTTGAAAGGAGAAAAGGTAAGTCATGTGTGGCATATTAGTATTGAAAATCTCCGAGGCGTCTGCATGGCTCAGTGAGTTAAATGTCCAACTTGACTTCCGTTCAGGTCTTGATCTCAAGACGGTTTGTGAGTTGGAGCCCCGCATGGGCTCTGCGCTGACAGCATGGAGGCTGCTTGAGATTCTCCCTCTTTCTCTGCCCCTCCCCTGCTCTTGCTTTCTCTGTCTCTCAAAATAAACAGATAAAAAAAAGAAGAAGAAGAAAGAAAGGAAATCTCTAATGGTACATCTGAAAGGGGTTCCATTAAATGATGAGATATAAGTGATTCCAAATCAGGTTTCATAATTAATTCAGAAATCAGTTAATAATTGGACCGTGATATTTGTTCCTATCGGACAACTTCTTTTAGCTCTTTCTGTAAATACCTCTTAAGAAATACAAGTTTTGGAAAATCCTTGAAGGAAATAGAGTCTAGGAGGAAAGAACTGACGTCAGGCTCAGGGTCCCGACTTCCAGATCAGGAGCTGCCACTAATTCTGGAATCTTGAGAAATGCTCTGTCATTCTTATGTCTTTCTTGCTTGCCCAGGAAATTGTCTATCTTAGGATATATGAAAATCTTAGATCTCTTCCAAACTGAGTAATCTTAAATCTTTTCTCTACGTGTATGCCCTGAAAAGCACTTTCATCCTTGAAGCAGTAGAAGTTTGAATAAGCAATTTAAAGGAGCTTTGCAAATATAACATTGGTTACAGTTGATGAAGTTCTTTATTTTCAAGGGAGCTCCTGCTGCAGAAGGTATAGAACTTGATGGAAGAGGTGACCCCGGGTTGCCAGGAGCCCCAGGATTACAGGTATAGCACTTCAGGGATGGTCTTCTCATTCTCATTTCTCTGTTTCTGGCTCTCTTTCTCTGTCTCTGTCTGTCCATCTCTCCCTCTTTCTCCCTTCTCTGTGTCTCCGCATCTCTGTCTTTGTCTCTGCCCCTCCTCTCTCTCTCTTCCCCTAGATCTTTTCCTCCCCCTCTTAGGAACATTTTTATTGTTTGTTTTCCATTTTCTTTTTTGTTTTGTTTTCTTTTTTCATGGAGATACTATTGACATATGACATATTCGTTTCAGGTGTAGAGGGTGGTGATCAGAGATTTGTACATATTGTGAAATGATCCCCACAATAAGTCTAGTTAACATCCATCACCACCGTGACAAATATTTTTTTTCTTATGATGAGAACTTTACTCTCTTAGCAGCTTTCAAATCTGGAATATGATGTTATTGACTATAGTCACTATGCTGTACCTTACATCCCCAAGACTCATTTATTTATAACTGGACACTTGTACATTCCACCTATGCTCCACCCCCACCTCTGACAACTGCAAGAACATTTGCAGGAGACATTCACATGTCTTCTGTTTACATATCGGCTTCATTTCACTCTAGAATATTCACTTTATGAGAAACTCCATGAAACTAACATAAAGGGATGATTTTGTTCATAATAAGTCTTTTAATCTCTTCTTAAATCTCAATTACCCAGGCTTTTCTACACCTAAGAAGGAATGTTCAAGGAATAGTTATGTTCCGCTTACTCTGTATTTGTTGAAATCAAGCATAGGTTTGTATCATACGTTGAATATCATTTAAAACTGTAATGTTAAGTAATAGCCCTATCACCAAATTTGCAGGAGTAAGTGGGTCTTATTTAAATGTGCCTTTTTCCTGTAGAGCGGTTTACTTTCTGATCCATATGTATGTAGATCTGAGTGTGATCCCAGATGCATACAAAGAGACACAGCCATGTGGGGGACTGTGTATGCTTTACTTTGTGATCCAAAAGGATTTTTTGGTAGACCTCAGGCACAGGTACTAACTTCCGGGTTAAAACCAGAAATATTTTAACTTAGTTCAGAAGTGTATGTGGAAATTTCTGGAAATGTGTCTAAGTGAGTCCAAGAGTTTGAGTTTAGGTTGTTGAGCTCCCGGATGGTGACCCCTGCCAACCAATGGTGAGCCACAAAATGGCAGAATGACATGCTTAGGAGGCTTTACCGACCTTTGAGGAAAGATACAGAACATGATGCCTCTTGATTGTTCTTGTTTAAGAAACATTTAAGGGGCTTGATGCTGAAGGAAAGGGATCCAGTAAGAAGAGATCGCAGCCATCTGGGACGTTGATGTGTCCTTTAAGTGTGCATTGAGTGTCGGCTAGGTACTACAGGGTGCTACTGATGAAGATCTAACAGTGGGACATTCATGTATACAAGAAACATGAATTACATGCCAGTTGTATGCCAGGAGCTATTCTAGGCTGTAGAGATACCACAGTGCACAAATCAGCACC